TCTCTCTCTCTCTCTCTCTTTCTCCCTCCCTCTTTCTCGAACCGCTGTGGTTGCGGGCAGCACTCTTTTCTCCTTCGAAGCAAGGTGACTGAGCAAGCCGTTCTGTCCAAGCTCACTGAGTCAGTTCTGTTCGTTATAGTATGTGATGCTCGGTTTGGTGCGCAGTCATAAACAAACATGTTATGTTCACACAGTCCCTCTCTGGCACCGTATGCTTTGATACGCCATTGTAGAATTCAATATGTGATGGCGTGCTTTGATATGGACTGTTCTGGTGTGGCATGGTCTGGTATGATTTGTCGTGTTATGGAATCGCATGCTCATCATGCTATGTATCGTTATCGCCAGAATGTAATTATGATATCAAATGTTCATAGCGTTCGTTTTGTATTATGATTGTAATGTGTTGTGTATTACTCGATTCGATGCCGTAGTAGAAGTTGCAGAGCAGAGCATGTCTGTTCGTTTCCGCTATGTGATTGCGAAGGCTTTTCGGGCAGTGCCGCCCGGCCTGAAGGCGGGGCGTCCACCAGGATTTCTGCTGGCGACCCCCCCAGGGACCCGACGGGAGCCCCGGGGGGGGGGGCGGTATTTTGACCCGAGACCCCCGCCCGCCTCCCCACCCCCATTCCCGTTTCCCACCCCAACCCTTCAGCCCGCCTTCCCTCTGGCAGGGAAGGGATCCAAGGGAAGGGGCTTCCCTTCGACTTAACTATGGCGCTCCTCCATTTCCTTGTTCCTCAATGCCCCTGCGGCTGACGACCAAGGCAGTGTCTTCCCCACGCCGAAGGGTTTGCTTTTCTCGTTATGTTACGATATGATATGGTATGTCATTGTATAAGGTGGTATGTTTTGACGTGATATTGATATGTGTTGTAATGCTATGTTCGGTTATGTTCGGCTGTGTCATGCGATGTAAATGCTATGATCTGTCATGGTATGGTATGATGTGCTATGGTATGATCTGGCCATTATGCTGTTTTTTTCTGTAGTGATGCACTCTGCCATGTTGTGTTGTATCCTCAACTGTTTGTTATGACATGTGTGTTGGCTGTGTGTGCTCCTGATGTCGATTCTTCATGCCTCTTTGCTCATAGACGGCGAAACGCCGTGACGCCTCCCCCTCTGGGCTGGCTGGTACGCAGGATGTCGTCATTCTTCGAGGACGCGAGACGGGAAATTCTAGGACTCTCGGGATCCTGTGTAGTCTGGCGACCGCGGTATGGTGTCGTCATTCGTCGAGGATGCGAGGCGGGATACTCAGGGATTCCCGGGATCTTGTGGGGTGTGGCGACCGCGGTAAGCAGGGTGGGTAGACTAGAGTTTTCTTTTTCAGATCTATCAGTTCCAATTTGTCGGGGGGGGAACAAGGGGGGAACCCTGAGATCCGACGTTGCCAAAAGAGCTGCAACAACGCAGAAAATCAAGACCAGAGCCCCACACCCCACCTTCCTGCGTCACTCTTCGAGCTGGGCTGGGCCGATCTGCGAGGGCCCCCTGGGCCCGAGACTGAGTGAGCACGCCCGTTGTGAAGAAGTGGCAGCGCCAGCATCTCGGGGACAGAAACACACAGGAAGACAACACACACTGTGTGTGTTTTTTCCCACTGTGTGTTTTTGTTCCCTGTGTGTGTGTGTGTTTTGTTCCCACGTGTGTGTTTTTTCCCCACAAGGGTGGGGGAGGAGCGCTGCCACGGGGTGGACGTCGGCCAGAGACGCCCCCGAGCCCCACGACCCGCTGGCGGGCGCCTCCGGCGAGCAGCTGCGGGCCGCCGTGCGCTGCGCCGTGCGCCTGGAGCTGGTGGCGTTCTTCGGGGAGCAGGCGGCGCGGATGGGCGGCCCGCAGCGGCCCTCCGTGGCCCCGGACTTCGTGCAGAGCCAGACGGTCGTCCGGCATGGACCCAGACCCCCTCGCGTTGTGAAAAGATCACGACGGGCGACTGGAGTTGTTTTCGCCATTTTCAGCCTCGGGGGGCCCTGACCGGGCCTCGGGACCGTCAAAAAACTATTCAGGATGAAAAACCGGTCCCGGGGAAGGGGTCGAGACCTTTGGGGGTCGACGTTGTGAAAAATCACGAATCACGGCGTTGGGGTTTTGGGGAGAGAGATCGACGTGTGAGGGTGCCGAGGATTTTTCGGAAAGCCCGGGTGGCCTCCCGATGATGGTGGTGGTGATGGTGATGACGAGAATGGTCATTGGGATGATGATGGTGATGCTGATGATGGTGATGGTGACGGCAATGGTGATGCTGCTGATGATGATGATGATGATGATGACGATATGGATGATATTGATGATAATGAATATGTTGTTGATGATGATGCTGATGATGATGATGTTGGTGATGATGATGATGATGATGTTGGTGATGATGGTGATCATGGGGATGATGATGATAACGATGACGGTGATGCTGATGATTCCTATGCGGTGGCGATGAGTATGTTGATGTTGACGATGTTGCTAATGATGATGATGATGCTGATGACGGGGAGGAGTATGAGGAGGATGAAGGAGACGCTGTGCATAGCGGGAAACGTCAGAAACGTCAGGAGGATGAAGAGGAGGAGGATGAGCTGGTGATGGTGCAAGTGAAGGTGATGATGAGGGTGACGACGATTATGATTGTGGTGATGGCGATGTTGATGCTGATGTTGATGGTGGTGATATTGATGCTGATGGTGAGGTTGATAGCGGTGGTCCAGATGGTGATGGTGGTGATGGTAATGATGATCAGTATCATGATGCGGTTGATGGGTATGATGATGATGGTGATTAGAATGATTCTTATAATGATGGTGCTGCTTATCATGGTGATTATGATGTTGATGTTAATGGTGACGATGCTGTCGGTGATGATAGCGATGATAATGATTGTGGTAAGCATGCGCCTGACGAAGCCTGAACGAAGGCGAGGATACTGTGATGATGAGGATGAGGATGATGTTGGTCGTAGTGATGGTGAGGGTGATGGTATGGGTTGTAGTAAAGTCAATGCTGATGACGATGGTGATAGTGATGTGAATGGCTGTGGAAGTTAGAATGATGGAGATGACAAGTTCGATGATGAGGGGGATGAGGATGAGCGGGGTCGTCGGCGTTGGTACCAAGAGGCGAGGATCGAGCATCTAAAACCGAGTATCACATGTTTTTGGCGTCGTCATGCTTTTGGAGGCCTCCACCGTGCCTCTCGTCGCCACGGCTGGATCCGCCTCGAAATTTTGTCCGATCGCTCCACGGGAGAGGTCCCTGGCCGATCTTTGAATCCCCGACGGGGAGTTGACCCTGAGGAAAGTTGTTATGGAGTTTGCTCACGCTCTTCCCAGGCCCTGGGGCCGTCAAAAGACGACACGAGAAGACATGATGGTTCCAGGGAATATTGTGAAGGCCCTGCGGCCAGTGCCGCCGACCCTGAAGACAACGTCGACGACGAGGATGATGATGATGATGAGGAGGAGGAGGAGGAGGAGGAGGAGGAGGAGGAGGAGGAGGAGGAGGTGGGGGGAGAGGGGCAGCAGGAGGAGGTAGGAGGAAGAGAAGGAGCAGGAGGATGGGGGGCAGGAGGAGCTGCATGATGAGGTGGAGGAAGAGGAGGAGGAGGAGGAGGAGGAAGAGGAAGAGGAGGAGGAGGAGGACGCCGAGGACGGGGACGAGGTGAAAGAAGAGGAGGATGGCATTCTGACCCAGGACCTGCCCTGGGACCACCCCCTGGGACCACCCTCCAGGTCTTCTTTGGCCCCCCCCCGGCGGGGAAGGGATCAAAGGGAAGGGGCTTCCCTTCGATTCAATCACAACGTTGCTCAATTTCGTTGTAGCTAGCGCGCGTCAAAAGGAAAGTCTAGGGTAACAGGGCGAACGGCGCCGGCGAGGATTTCGCGTGGGCTGACCCGCTTGGAAAGCTCAAGGAAAAGAAGGAGAAGACGACGACGATGATGGCGACTACGACGAGGACGACCACGAACGGAAGAGCGTCTTCCACACGCCGACAGGGTCGGCTACTTTATCCAAGGGTCGAGGACACATTTCTACCATGGCCCCTTTCCTTGATGCCAAGGTTTGGGACGAGCTAACCGACGACGGGAGCGGCGACGCCAGCAAGAGCCTCCACGCTCAGCACTTTACAAAGTTCACGCAGGCAGACCACAAGGTGCACGGACTTAGCCATGGTTCCACCTACAGCGACCTCGGTCAGTCTCAACCGATCTGTCAGCCCAATTTGTCCAGCCAGGGGGCAACGCTGACGGCAGCCGCCAGCTTCGCGAAACGACTGTGGTTAAAGGACGAGCCTGAGCGTAGCGGCCCTTTAGCAGCATTGGTGCGTTCTCGCTTCTTCGAAAGGACGATCCAGGCTGTCATCCTGACTAACTGCCTGGTCATGGGCCTGTCGGCCAACTACGAGATGAACCACGCGCCTACGTTTTCGGATGAGGATTTCGGCCACAACATCTTCACGACCCTCGACATCATATTCCAGGTGAGAGACGGGAGAAAACGGGGTCGATTGGGCCGACAGTCGCGCGTAAGTGTCCTGCGTTTGACCGCGCTTAAACGCTCTCTTCTCCTCGTGGTGCGCCGCGGTGGCGCCCCGCGTAAGCCGCGGCGTAAGGTTGCCAAGTTTGTCTCCGTGCATAAATTCCGCTTCTTTTCGTCGTTCAGGTGTTCTACACTCTCGAGCTGATCTTGAAGCTAGCCGTGCACCGCGAGTTCTTCTTCTGGAACCAGGATGCCGGTTTGAACACGTTTGATTTGTTCTTGGTGATTAGCGGCTACGTCGATCTGCTGTTCGCCAACGGTGGAGGGGGATCGACCGCCTTGCGCGCCGTGCGCGTCCTCAAGCTCGGGAAGGCCCTGCGCGCCCTGAAGGTGGTCAAGGGGTTCCGCATACTGCGGGCTATCCTCGTCTGCATCCAGGCGTCGTTCGTGACCCTCTTGTGGAGCGTTATCATGCTCTGCTTGGTGTTCTACGTATTTTCCCTAATATTCGTCCAGCAGGCCGCCTCACGGCTGGAGGATATCGGCGATCGTGACGATCCAGTCTCTATAGTAATCCTCGACAATTTCAAGAGCGTGCAGACGTCGATGGTGACGCTCGCTAAGGCCGCCTTCGGCGGGGAAGATTGGGGCGTGGCCCTCGATGTCGTCGCAGAATGTGGGTTCATGTCCGCCCTCTTCTACATGCTTTTCATACCGTTGCCTGCGGCAAAGCCCGCCACTGTGTCAGCGCATCGTTGAATTGTACGCAGGATGGTTCTCCCGATTCCTCCCAACAGGCTCAGTCGAACCATCTGGGGCTTTCCAAAAACGGCGTTGCCTTCGCAAATTGAATGAGTTGTCATCTCGTCCGCCGCGGAAGGCGGCGGAAGCCGGCGAAAGCTCGGCGGAAGGCGGCGGAAGTAAACATGCGTCCCTAAGGGATGAAAACGTTTTTCGGTTCAGAGTTTCCGAAATCGCCCATCTGGTGGAGCATCGCTTCGGTGTTGCAGCATGGCGCGGCCGTGACGTCGCGCGATTGTTGCGTCACCTCTTTGAGGTTTCTCGGAGGCCTCTCTTGGGCCCTCTTGGAGTCTCCTGGCCGCCTGTGGACTCTCTCTGTGCCATCTTCAGCTGTCTTGGGGGCTATTCAGGGGTCTCTGAAGGCATCCTGAGGCCATCCTGGGCCGAAAAGCCTCGGAGGTAGCTCATAGCGCGTTGCCTCACAGAGCCTCGATGGAGCGCCGCTTGGGGGCTTTGCGAGGCCTCATGGGGCCTTCTTGGAGAATTTTTATGGGGCCTGTGTGCTTCCGGAGGCTCGAACTGGGACCGTCTGGCCGAGTCTCGAGGGCCGTCTTGGAGCTCTCTCGAGGCGGTCTTGGCCCGTCTCAGGGGGGGCGGCTTTCGGTGAAGAGTCGTGGTGGGGGGTGGGGGTCGCCAGTGGAAAGAGGAGGAGGAGGAGGAAGAGGAGGAGGAGGGGGATGGAGGAGTGGAGAGGGAGGAGGAGGAGGAGGAGGAGGAGGAGGAGTGCAGAAGCTCACCAGACGCAGTCTAACACACCCTGACGTGCCGAGGGCACGAACACACGGATAGCCTTCTCGCAGATCGCGTTGATCAACATCATTACAGGCCGGTCGTTGGAAGTACATGTGATTTTAATTTAAACGTGTTCTTTTTTCAGGTGTCGGGCATATCCAATGTGTGTTGAATGCCAGCCTATTTGTTTCTGTGGCCTCTACAGGCATATTCGTCGAGAGCGCAATGCAGAGTTTGGCCCCGAACAGAGAACAATTGGCCACACAATTAGACGTTGAGGAGAAGGGGTACGCAAAGGAGCTGGAGATGCTGTGCATTTCCGTGGATGCCGATAAGAGCGGTTGTCTCACGAAGGAACAGTTCAACAATGGGATCAAAGAGGGCCGCATACCTTTGCTCTTGCACTTGTTGGGTCTCAGCCGGACGAACGTTGAGAACTTCTTCCAAGTTCTCTGCGATGCGTCTCCGGACAACCAGGTCGACATCAAGAGTTTCGTCCGTGGGTGCATGAGGTTGAAGGGCGCTGCGACCAGCTTCGACCTCCAGACGATGATGCTAGACTTAAAGAAGATTGAGGGACGCATCTCGAGAGAGTTTCGCTGTATGAGCAACAGGATAGTCGCAGTCGAGAGATGCATGCGCCCATCGCAGACCGATGATGTTCTGGATCCGACCTGATTGACTACAACTGCGGTCTCTGTGTCCTGGCTGTGACCTGCACGCTGCAGCTGACGCCGACGGGGGACCGGGTCCGGGGGCTGGGGGCCGGGACCACGACCACAAATGCTGGGCCCCGCGCGCCGGGGGCCCTGCCGGAGCGCCGGGGGCCGTCCAAGATCGCCAGAAGGTGTTTTCGGAACGCTCGGAAACGCGCTCCGATGGCGCCGGATGCCTTTCAAGACGACTCCTATGGCGCCAAGGAGGCCCCCGAAGGCCCCGAAGACGCCCCAAGAGGCACCCCGAGAGAGCCCCAATAAGCAAAACCCGTCGATTTCCGGTTGGAAAACTGATGCTTTTGGCGTGTTCGCCTTTTGGGTTTCCATTGCGTCCAAGACGGCCCAAGAGGCACCCAAGCCGGTCGAGGATGCCCCCAAGAGGGCCCCAAGACGGCCCACGAGGGGGCCAAGACGGCCTGCGAGGCACCCAAACCAAACCGCCCAAGAACGCCCCAAGGCGGCGCCCAAGACGGGGACGAAGGACCAAAGATTCGAGCGTTGTGGCCCAAGAGACCCCAGGAGACCCCAAGAGGCTCCAAGTAGCGCCCAAGAAGCCCCAAGAGGTCCCCAAGAGACCAGACAAAAACAGAAGAAGAGGCCCCGAACACGCCCCAAGAGGCACCCCAAAAGAGTCCCAAATAATCAAACATCGTAGATTTCTCTTAGGAAAACTGATATTTTTGTCGTGTTCGCTTTTGGGGTTTCCATTGCGTCCAAGACGGCCCAAGAGGCACCCAAGACGGTCGAGGATGTCCCCAAGAGGGCTCCAAGACGGCCCACGAGGGGGCCAAGACGGTCCACGAGGGGGCCAAGACGGCCCACGAGACGCCCCAAGTCGGCGCCAAAGACGGGGACGAGGCACCGAACGTGCGAGCCATTTGGCCCAAGGGGCCCCCAGGAGACCCCAGGAGGCTCCAAGTAGCGCCCAAGAAGCCCCAAGAGGTCCCCAAGAGACTCGCACAAACACAAAAAGAGGCCCCGAACACGCCCCAAGGGGCACCCCAATAGAGCCCCAATAAGCAAACATCGTAGATTTCTTGTAGGACAACTGATATTTTTGGCGTGTTCGCCTTTTGGGTTTCACTGCGTCCGAGACGGCCCAAGAGGCATCCAAGCCGGTCGAGGATGCCCCCAAGAGGGCTCCAAGACGGCCCACGAGGCGCCCAAACCGCCCAATAACGCCCCAAGTCGGCGCCAAAGACGGGGACAAAGAACCGAAGATTCGAGCGTTGTGGCCCAAGAGGCCCCCAGGAGACCCCAAGAGGCTCCAAGTAGCGCCCAAGAAGCCCCAAGAGGCCCCCGAGAGACCCGAACAAAAGAGAGGCCCCGAAACAGCCCCCCAGTGGGCCCCCCAAAACGGCCCAAGAGAGCCCCAGGGCGCGTCCAAGAGGGTCGAGCAGAGAGCTGGTCCGATTTTCGGCACTCTACACAGGGTCCGTCCCCGGCGGTGCCTCAAGCAGGCGTTGCCACTGGAGTCCTCACTTGCATAATGTTTCTGGTCAGCCGTCCGACCTGTTGCAGGTTGGAGGAGGAGGAGGAGGAGGAGGAGGAGGAGGAGGAGGAGGAGGAGGAGATCCGTTGCCATTTTGGCTCAAGGTGGGGACCAGAGACCCCCACGGCGAGCTGGCAGCCCCTCCAGGCCATCCAGCGTGTCGTGCGCTGGAGGACATTCCCCTTTACCCTCCGCTCCCGCCAGTTCAGCTCCTTCGGAGCAGCATGGCCAATGACGGTGATGGTGCTTCGATTGCTTCTCTTGCTGCTGCTTTCGATTCCATCGGCACCTTCCCCTCGCAGGAAGGAACAGGTGGGAGCCAGTCCCCACCAGGCGGCAGCCCACACAAGAAGGCCAAAGGCAGCGAAGGTGCAGACGCCATGGCCGCAGTCGCCGAGCTCCGCTCCTTCGTCACCGACACTCGCAACGAGCTGCTCGAAGCGGTTGCCACACGGCAGTCAAATGTCACGGAGTTCGGTGCAGGAGTGGCAAAGTCTTGCGACAACATTAGCAAGCAGGTCGAGACGCGATTTGCCGACTTGCAGGCACAGCAGAACAACACTCAGGTTAGAGCCAGCGCGTTGGAGCGCCAGGTTGCTGAACTGCAGCAACTTCTCCATTGTACTAAAGCAGAAGAGCCGGCGGCTGCTGTGCAATATTCATCGTTCAACAGGCATGTGGACCCATGTATTCTGGTCATCCGCAGCAAAGCAGCCGTCGCCGCCAAGGATGTTGAGAACAGTATTGGAGCGTGGCTGGAGAGATCGCAGATTGGTGAAGATGACTACACATCCTCTTCGAACCCAGCTGGCAAACGTTTTGTGGTCAGAGTTCGTGGGAACCCCACTTTCGCCCAGCGGAAGGTTGCGCAGGCCATCGGCGCGCTCAGGTTCGCCAGCGGAGACTGGGAGAGACGCTCAGCCCCAGCCATCGACGGGGCCAGGACCGAGTTCTTCATCAGCACGGACAAGAACCCCGCGATGGTCAAGAGGGAGCTCGGCCTCAAGTTGTTGCGCCGCGCATTTGAGAGCGTGGCCAGCGGGGACAGGTACTTCTCGGGCAAGGCGAAGGGCGAGATCTCCGCAAGCTGGAAGCCATTGGCATGCATCACCCCCCTTCCAGGAGACGAAGCGCCCAGGATCGAATGGCGTGTCCCCAACCTCGTGGAGCTCGGGATCGACAAGGAGAGCGTCAAGCGGAGGTTTGAATCAAGTTTGCAACCTGCGGTGGTGCCGCAGTGGTCTACTTAGCAGTATCCTGAGATGATGGAGAGGTCCACTATCTGAAGAATGGCCCCTTAGTCTGACTACGTGGAACGCCCGAGCCCTCTTCCACCACTCTGTTCCCCGTCGCGAACCCAAGCTCGCCCTTCTCCGTCGTCCCCCCACCAAGGGCGCCACTGTAGCTGTCCAAGAGGGCCATGGTTCCCTTCTCGAGATTCAGGGCTTTTTGTATAACAATCGCCTGCAGTTCCGGGCGTATGCTTCCTTCTGCCCGGATGAGCAGGGCGGTGGCGTCGTCGCGTTTCTCCCCAGTTTTGACTTCCTTGGATACCGAAACCCAGATGTATTTGCTAGACAAACCCTTCCAGGACGGGCGTTGCGAGTTGCGTTGGCAATGGAAGACTGGTCCCAGCTGGTCCATTCCAACATTCATAACTATGAGCTTCCCCGTGACGATGAAGAACTTCTTGCAGAACTTATCGTGGCTGATCTGGGGGAGGCGCATGCGAACCCCGCCAGGCCCCTGGCCCTGGTCAGCGGAGACTTCAATTTCGCGCGCGTGCCCCCGCGCAAGGAGCTAGACGCCGAAGTAGATGAAGCACCCCATCGGTATCTCCAGGATTGGCGATCCTCCCAGGACAGAAGTCTCATGGAAGTCCTCGGGAAAATGGTTGAGATAGAGGTCCCCGAGCCATCCCATCACTTCGCCCCCAAGCGGATGCTCACCTACATCGACAGGCAATTCGTCTCGCTCCCAGGGTGGCTGTGCACGCAGTTGAGTCTTTCAGGCGCGGTGGTCGAGCCGCCCGAGCTACTGAACCGCAGGGGGATCTCTAATTAAGCACCTGTTCGAGCGGTTGTTTGCCATGGGAAACCTGTTCCTGGCAGCGAACGCCCTGTTCTCCCCGTGGTTTGCGATCGACCCGAATACCGTCAGTTCCTGGAGAAAACCGATGAGATTTGTGATCAGAGTAGACTCACTCCACCGCTAAGGCTGGAATTTCAGACCCAGATGATGCGGGAAGCGGAGAAGGTCGCCCGCGAGAGCCTCATCTCCAAGTCGCCCGACTCCCTATTCGCGCGCTTGGCGGTGATCAGAGGGATCGGCCGAGCAGTCTGGCGGCAAGATGTTCGACGTGCCCAACAGCTCTGGAGGCCTCGCGAATTCGGCAAGTTCTCCTTCGGATTGACCCGCTGGAGGGGACAGTGGAGCTTATTGGCGCTCCTGGGTTCCATGGTCGATCGAACTCGATTCGCGAGCTGATTTCGATGCAGAAACAGGCTGCCCTGAGAAAAACCATCTCCGACGCGACCGACGAGATCACGAGGGCGAAGGCCAGAAGGGAACTGAAAACATACGATTCGACGAAGTAGACTCTGGAGCCCGTTTGGGCGCAGGATGTCCCTGCAAGGGATCAGGGCAACGGGCGGCCAGTCTGTTGTTGCCGAGCCTGGTGCTGCTCTCTCGCTGCTGGCCAACCTGTGGCGGCCTGTCTTCGCCGGGAAAGAGATCAACGTTCAAGCTGCGCATGCTTATCTTCATCATCACCCCTCTGATATCGATCTATCTGACCTCCCCCCCCCCCCCCTTCCCTTCGCCAACTGGAAGCTCGCCTTGAGAGATCCGAAGACAGCGCCCCAGGTCTTGATGGGCTCCGTTACAGGGCTTCGAAAAGGCATTCCGCGGGGCCCAGTATTCTCGACGAAGGGCTGCGGTGGTTACTTAGTGGGAGGGCTATGTTACCGTCTTTCAACCACGTCAGAGGGGCCTGCGTTGCTGAAGGGGAAGATGAACAATATTCCAATGGTGTCTCTCGGGCTGCAGATCAAACCCGCCCTCTGGGGCTGAAACAATCCTCAAATAAGCTCATCACGGGCGCTATTTTCGAGAACCTCAGCATGGCTCTGAAAGGCAATATTCATTTCTCGCAGAGGGTCTTCGTCAGAGGCCGCAACCTTGGAGTGAATATCTTGGAACTTGACGCCAGAAGTAGGATTGCATCTATGTTACCCGACGCCGCTGTTCGGCCCCCAGCCCTTCTGGCATTTGGCTTCGACCAGGCCTTCCCATCGGTTGCGCGCGAATGGATTCACATGGAAGTCTGGCGGCCTTTGGTGTTCCCACTCCTCTTCGTACCTACGTTGAGCTTTTATGCTCTGGAGTTCGATGCTTCGGGACGTTCGCGAGAGAATGCCGGTTCCTCTTCAACGTTGACGCAGGCATCATCCAGGGCTGCACTGGATCAGGAGTCCTCTTCGCCACTGCCAGTCATCCGTTCCTGGTCGACTTCTG